AGCTTTCTGAGTCTTTGCCCATCCAGGGGTGAGCTTTGGTACTGTCTCGGATTCATCTATGTTCCTATAAATAACCCCTCACCTATATGCCTGTAAGTAACCCCAATAAACTCACTGTTCACTAGGCTAAACTTGGGTGGAATATTTCTTTGGTCTGTTGTTGGTGCCCTATCTGGGGTGAATAAACATTTGTTCACATCTCCCCAGGAAAAGTCACACAACGATGTACCAAACTCCTCACAGAATTCTATTTATTGGAATCATGTCCCTCCTCCTATACCTGCCCTCCTCCCTTTCCCATGTTCACCACCTTCTCCTCCCACCTGTGTGTGTGTTAAGGTGTGTATGTATGTATGTATGTATGTATGTATGTGTGTGCATTTGCATATTTATATATGTATTTATGCATGTATGCATATTTGCCTAGCTCACTGCCTGGGTGATCTTGTTATCAGTTTTTAAAAACTCAGTAGAATTTGAATTTCAAACCATCCCATTCATTTGAGACAAGAAACAGACCCAAGCATGCCTCATTAACACACTTTGAAATTTTTAATTAATTTGAAACAAGGTCTCATGTAGTCCAGGCTGACTTCATACTATGTAGAATGATTTTGAACTTTTGATCCTCCTGCCCCCACTTCTCAAGTGTTGAGATTATAGGTGTGCACCACCACAGCCAGTTAATGGAGCAAAGGACTTGGTGCATGCTAAGCAAGCACTCTACCAACTTAGACATGTCCCGAGCCCTTGTTATGTCATTTTGAGAATGGTTTTATGAGAAAACAGTTCAGAAATCTTGTCCAACTCAGGCTGATCTTGGACTTGCCAGATACTACCCAGAACTGGGTTGGAGAGGATGGTGGTAGAGGGAATTGGGTTAAGGTGAGTTCTAGAGACCTGAGGAACCTTGTGGTACCCATCTCCACTTCCTGCTTGCTGGACAGCCTTAGTCCTGAACCACAGAAAAATGTCCTACCTCACAGGACTGGCATACATACCAAACATGTTGAGGGTGAGTGACATAGGGCCTGACTCACTGTCAGTCAGTGCTCAGCACCACAGAGTGACGTGTCAGTGCACAGGGAACTCTTAACATACACAGCTGTCACACAGTCACTATCAATTGCATGTGAGTACTGTAGGGAACAGTGGGCCATGGCTGAGGATAGACCCCAGGTAGTGTCCACATGTGGGAAAGGCCATTCTGCTGCCTCCCCGCCCACTGTCTCCCTACCTCTACCTTTGAAAGACCAACTACAAGGAGGTACTGCTTAACCTCAGCCCAGAAGAGGCAAGTCTGTTTCTGCTGGCTTTGTGGGACAGCCCTTCGGTTGAGACAAATCTACCTTTCCAGACCTCTACACCACCGCTCACTGTTTCAAGCAAGCCCCAGGCTATGTTACAGACCCAGCATCCTTGGTAAAGAGAAGAAGCAAAGTCCAGCCAGTCCTCGCCAGTACCCACCCACTGCCCTCTTACTGGAGTTCATCTATAAGCCACAATAGAAAAGGAGCTGTTGTATTGAGCCTTGGGGCTCAATAAGGCCCGAAATCAGGTCAGAATGAAGGTGAGAGTATGTTTTAGATTAAATATTGATTTAGAGGAGGAGTGCCAAGAGGTGGGGCAGGCATAAGCATACCACCGATGGCTTGTGGCTCCTGCCCCTCTCAAGGCTCGCATATAGGACTCATGGGGTCAACCTTTGGAACTGCCAATTCGTCCCTTTATGCTGGTGAATGTGAGAGTCAGAGACAGGCGCTGCTGCCCCTCTCAGAACCACCACAGCTGCATGCTTCCCTGGTTGAACTCTCCTTGTGCATATATGAGACACACTCTGCTTGGAAGAGTGTGCACACAGATGGAGCAGCCTGAGATGGGCAGGCTCTGGGGCCCAAGAGCACAGCAGGGCAGATAACTCTGCAGGGCCCCATGTCACTGGTCTTATTGCTCAGTGAGGAGAGGGATACATCTGTAACCTGAGCAGGCCATTAACTGGCTGCATGTAAATCTCCTCTTCCACACCAGGCAGCAAGAATAGCAAGGGAGGAAGAGCAGGAAGTACATATGTATTCTTCGTGTGTGTGTGTGTGCATGTGTGTAAGTGCACACACATATGTGAGCATGTGGCAGCCTGATGTCAATGTTGAGTGTCACCCTCCTCCTATTAGCCTGCAGCTCACCAGTTCAGCCGGGCTGGTTTGCCAGCAAGTCCCAGGGATCTGCTGTCTCCATCTTGCCAGCACTATCTGTCACCAATACCTTGTTTTTCACATGGGTACTGTGGGTTGAACTCATGCTTGCAAAGCAAGCACTTTACCAACTAAGCCATCGCCTCCAGCCCTCGGGTGGGTGGTGGTAGTGGTAATGTTCCTGGTTAGTTTTATTGTCAACTTGACACACCTAGAAAAAGCTGTCTGGCTCAGATTGGTCTGCGGCAATGTTTGTGGGGCATTGTCTTGATGCTCATTGATGTGGGATGGTCCAGCACACTGTGGGTGACACCATTCCTAGGTGGTTGGTTCTGGGCTGTATAAGAAAGCTAGCTGAGCTGAAGTCAGGGAGTAAGCCAGTGAGCAGCATTCCTCCATGGTCTTGGCTCCAAGTTCCTTCCTTGAGTTCTTGCCCTGGCTTCCCTCGGTGATGAACTATTTTAAGTGTAAGATAAAATAAACCTTTTTTTCCCCCTAAGTCACTTTCAGTCATGAAGTTTATCACAGCAACAGAAATGCAAACTAGAACAGTGGGGGCATTGGGGATGGGGGCTACTTTCTGTCAGTCTCAGGCTCAAGACCTCTGCCATTCTAACCAAGATCTAGAGCCTATCAAGATGCATGGAAAGATCCAGAAAATAGGTTCATTTCTGAAAACACGTGGAAAGAGAATGAGGCTTTCAGTACCCGTTCTGGGAAGCTGGTGACCCTTGCTGGGCCACGCCCTTTCATGGCCTCCAGGACCAGAAGAGATGGAGTGTGTGAACAAGATCCCTTAGCAGGCACAGAGCCTGTGGGTGGGTGCTCGGTCACACCATCACACCGCTGCCCTGTGCTCCATCTCACCAGCACTGTTTGTTACCAGTACCTTGTTTTTCATATGAGTACTGTGACAAAGCAGGGAGTCCTGCTCTCTGAGAACACCTGTTTTGCCCATCTCTTGCTCCAGCCCTGGGATTTAAGAAGTGGGACCTGCTGGCCAATGAACTGGCTTGTAGCATCTATTCCACTGGGAGATGCTGATTGGCCCAAAGAAGGCCATGGGTATGAACTCATGTCCTGAAGCTATGTTCATGTTGCATGTGACCATCACCATCTTAAAGCAGAGCCAATGTGATGAACCACTCAAGTCCTCTTGAGTTCAGGTCTGTTAGTACTCATGGAGGGACCAAGAAGCTTACAAGATCTTCCTGAGGCCCCTTGACTCCCCAATATTATTTAAGAGATAAACAATTGATGGAGGTGGGACTCCACAGGGGTGGAGGTATGAGAGAATCATCCATCTTCCTGTAAGGAACCCCAATAAACTTACTTTTTCATGTGAGTTAATATTGATGTCAACTTGATAGGGTCTAGAATCACCTAGGAGACAAACCTATCTGTGGGAAGGTTTCTAAGTTTGAGTTAAATGAGGTAGAAAGACTCACCTTAAATGTGAGTGACACTATACCATGGGGCTGGGGTCCTGGGCTGAATCAAAAGGAGAAAGCAAGCTGAGCACCAGCATTCATCTCTCTGTTTCCTGACTGTGGATGCCATGTGACCAGCTGCCTCACGCTCCTGCCGCCATGCCTTCCCACCATGATGGACTGTGTCCTCAAACTGTGAGCCACAATAAACCCTTCCTTAAGTTACTCTGTCAAGTATCATTGTTAGCTTCAGCTGTCAACCTGACAGTCCCAGGAAGAGGGATCCTCAGTTCAGGAATTTCCTCCATTGTGATCCCATGGCCATGTCTGAGGGGCATTTTCTTTTTTAAAAAAAATATCTGTGGGGCTAGAGAGGTGGCTCAGGGGTTAAGAACACTGTTCTTACAGAAGACCCAGGTTCAAATCCCAGCACCCACATGGCAACTAACAACCATCTGTAACTCCAGTTCCAGGGAATCTGACAGTCCCTTCTGTTCTCCACGGGCATTGCATGAGATGGGTGTACTTACCTACATGCAGACAATACATGCATACATATAAAATAAAAATAATAAATATTTTTAAAATGTATCTATTATTTTTCTGTGTATGAATGTATGGCCTGCATATATGTAAGTGCATCCATGTTGTGCAATGCCCGTGGAGGTCAGAAGAGGGGTGTCAGAATCCCCTGGAACCGGAGTCATGGACAATTGTTAGCTGCCATGTGGGTACTGGGAGTCAAACCTGGATCCTTTGCAAGAGCAGCCAGTGCTCTTAACTGCTGAGCCATCTCTCCAGCTCCATCTGTGGGCTATTTTCTTGATTGTTACCTGATGTAGGAGGGCTCAGCCCACTGTGGGTGGAGCCCTCTCTTGGCAGGAGGGCCTGACTGTAAAAGAAAGGTATCTGAGCAAGCCCAGCCCGGGGGAGCAAGCCTGTAAGCAGTTTCTCCTGCTTCACTTCCTGCCTCCAGGTTCCTGCTTTGGCTTCCCTTCATGATGGACCTGTGATCCAAATCAACCCTTTCCTCCCTACGTTGGTTTTGGTCAGTGCTTTATCACAGCAACAGAGAAGCAAACTGGGACAGGTATTTCGTCACAGCAGGGGGAAAAGGGACTAATACAGTTCAACACTTGGACTCGGATGGAATCCTTTCTTTGGTCTGCTGGTGCTCCCTATCTGGAGGGAATAATCTGTTTCTCCAAGAAAAGTCATGCAACTTAGATTTTTTAAAAATTTCGTTATCTGTACAGGGGGAATCTCCATCATCAGCTCTGCCTTCCCTCCAAATGGGACAGGAGAGTTGAGGAATCAGAAGACTCAAGAATCAAGCAAAAACCAGCACTCGCTGCTGGGAAACAAGCGAAGCACTGACCTCGGACTCCGACCCATCCACCGACTTCTCCTTGAGGTTCATGCTCTCAGTCAGCACAGCTCCGTTGTACTTATTGCAGATGTCCTCATCTGAGTAGTGCAGACCTCCAGGGCTCGGCCGGGGTGGGGACCTGAAACAGGATGATGCAAGTTACTGGGGACAAAGGACACTCCCCTGGAGGGTGGGGCTCCTAGCTGCCATCTGGTCTCTGTCATATAACAAGATGAAAGCTGCCTTTGTGACTGATTTAAAGCTCTGAGTATTGGCTATCTGTGGTTCTACAGTCTGTTGGCTTCAGGGACTGTTCAAGGTCTCGGGAACTGGGGACCTGCTGTCTTGTTCCAGTGAGACACTAAGAGGGAAGAGCAATGTGAGGTCAGGACCAGGAGGAGGCACAGGGTGCACAAAACAACTCCCCAGAGATAGAAGAAAGAGTCGTGCACTTGCCAGGGCTGAAGACCGTCATAGGGGAGGGGTCTGACTTGCTAGAATGAGGTTTGTGGATGGTCTCCCCACTGATAAGAAGGGCTTGGGGAGCACGCACCAGCCTGGGTTCCTACTCTGGTGGAGCCCAAGACCCAAGGCTGGGCCAGATGGAGGCATTGGCCCTGACTTATTGACAGAATCCTAAGACAGCCCCATCAGTGCTCCCTGTAGCATGCAGGCCATAAGTGTGGGCAGAGCTGGTGACTGGCTTGTAACCAGCTGGATGTGGAAATGTGGAGATGGCCATGGTCAGATCACATTATACAGGAAGGGTAGGGATGTTATTTCCATCTCTCATGATCATATGACACTATATGTAGGAAGCCCCATCATGGCCAGCTGGAGATAGTGTGCTGGTGAGTTTTTGTCAACTTAACAAACTAGATTCACCTGGAAAGAAGGATTCTCAACTGAGGAATTTCCTCTATCAGTCTGTCCTGTGGCTGTGTCTGTGAGGCATTTTCTTGATTGTTAATTGATGTAGGAAGGTCCAGCCCACTGTGGTGGCACCATCCCTAATCAGATGGGCCTGAGCTGTGTAAGAAAGGTAGCTGAGTAAGCCAGGGGGAGCAAGCCAGTAAGCAGTGTTCCTCTATGGTCTCTGCTTCAGTTCCTGCCTTCACTAGATAACAGACCGTGACTGGAAGTTGTAGGATGAAATAAATCCTTTCCTCCCCTATTTTCTTTTGGTCATGGTGTTTATGGACAGCAACAGAAACCAAACTACAATAGAGCACCAGGCATGGCCAATCTATTTTGATGTGTATATGTATAAGTGCTATGCATGTTTGCACATGTGGTGTGTGTATGCATGTGGAACTCAGAGGCTGATGTCAGGTATCCTCCTCAATAGCTGTCTACTTTATTTACTGAGGCTGGTCCCTTGCTGAACCCAGAGCTTGTGCATTCGGCTAATCCTGATGACCAGCTCTCTCCAGGGATCTGTCTCTACCTCCTCAGTGTGGGGATCACAGGCAGCGGCCATGCCTGCCATGGTTTCAGGGGATCTTAACTCCAGTCCTCATACTGTGTGGCAAATGTTTCATCCACTGACCCGCCCCCTAGCCTCTCTGTCCAGCTGGCAGACATCGTGACACAACGTTGTCATTTACAAAGTCCATGCTTGAGAACTTTGCAATCCAGTTGCAAGAAAAATTACCCCCAAATCTTAGTGTTTTACATAATTTTCACTTTTTTGTTTGGCCATATTCAGGGCTATCCTTAGCTCATGTGGCCTATAGGTGGCAGATGAGACATACCTGATCAACACTCCTGCTGACCTCAGAGGAGCAAAGACATGCTTTGATCAACCTCTGGAAACAGGGGACCAGGGTAGCTTCCAGCCAGTGGCAAAAAGAGGCCAGGTGCATTCGGTCCTGGTAAGCTTGAAAGAGGATTCTGACCTTCTAGATCTTCGTATGAGAACAAAGCCCAGTGACAGGAGAGTAGCTGGGCTGGACCAACTCCTGGCCTATGAGGCATGTGTTACACTGTGGTCGTTTGTCACATGGCAACATAAAGCAAATATGCTATTTACTTTGTAACTTCTTGGTTTCTTTTTATTATTTAAAGTTATTTTCATATGTATGTATGTTTTGCATGTGTACATGCATGTGTGCTGTGTGCCCCTCTGCTTAGGGAAGCCCAAAGCTGACGTCAGGAGTCTTCCTCTACTGCTCTACTTTATCAATTGTGGCAGGGTCTCTCGGGTGAACTCAGAGCTCATTGATAAGGCTAGTCTGGTTAGCCAGTTTGCTCTGGGGATCCCCTGTCTCTGCCTCCATAGTACTGGAATTACAGGTGGGCCACCATGCTTGCCCGGTATTTACATGGGTTGTAGGGCTCCAAACTTGGGTCCTCCCTACACTTGGGTGGCAGGTGCTTTAACCACTGAGCCATCTCCCAGCGCCCTTGTTTGTTTCTTGAGGTGAATAAAATAAAACCTGGGGGAGGATCTGTGCTTAGCCTTGATGGCTCTTTAAACAAGGGCTTCTGATAATTCCCAAGGCTGCCCAGGGGTCCTCATGCCTGTGGTTAGCCATATGGGCAGGGCCTACTTTTAGAGACCTTCCCTCTGTCCAGGACCCTCATGCTGAGGACCATGCAGAGCTGAGTAGTGGCTACAGACAGGTAACCTTTCACCTCACATATGGGGAAGTTGCCAGTCATTGGTCAGGATGCCAGACTCACTGAGAAGATGGGGTGGAAAGAGGGGTGGCATGGTGGAGATTTCTGGTCTGAAGTTACAACTATCACAACTTCCTTGGGGTTGGCGCTACCTCAGTTTCTCCAGCGAAAGCCCAGGGAAGGTTCAAGGGCCTGTGTTTTTTAAAAAAATTATTTGCTTATTAATTAACTAATTATTTATTCACTTATTTAGTGTGCATACTAATAACAATTAATAAATAAGGTGGAACACAGTTGGGGAAGAAACTCAGTGTTAACCTCTGGCCTCCGTATGTACATACACATGTGCGTGTGTAAACATGAATAACACACACATAACCACACACAAATAAATTTTTTTGGTCTTTTTGAGACAGCATCTCCCTGTAGCCTGAGCAGGCCTGGAACTCCCTATCTAGACCAGGCTGGCCTCGATCTCACAGAGATCTGCCTGCTGAGATTAAAGGCATGTACCACCATGTGTAGCTCCTCTGTTTTTTGAGACTGGGTCTCTCCAAACCTGGCTCACCAATTCAGCAAGACCAGCTGACCAGTGAGCCCTAGGGATCCTCCTGTCTCTACCCTAAATGCTGGGGTTACAGACCTGTACCATCAGGCCCAGTTTTTATGTGGGTGCTGGGGGTCTGTACTCAGGTCCTTATGTTTGCATGGCAAGCACTTTACTGAATGAGCCATCTCCTCAGCCCCTTTTATTCTCTTTTGAAACAGGGTCTTGCCATATAGCCCAGGCTAGCCTCAAACTTGTAATCCTCTCACCTCAGCCCCTGAATGCTGAGATTACAGGCCTGTGCCATCACGTCCATTTCCAGGCCTCATTTCAAGGCTACCCAAGATTTTAGCTAAAAGAATCAGTCTGGGCCACCCCACCAGACCTGCAGGCCTTACCTATCTTGGGGGTTCTAGAAACATGTAGACCTGACCATACATAGTACAAGACCCTTCTTTTCCTCACACATGTGGGCCTGGGACTGAAAAGCTAAGGGTTTATTTAAAACCACCAGAAAAGGGCCTCTTTTCCTTCCATCATGATTTCTTTGTCCTTTGCTCTCAGCAAGCTCAGGATGCTTTGTACTTGACCCTGTGAGATAGCTCAGGACCCCAAGAGAGGCCAGCTGACATGGATGAACGAAGGTAACCCAATGAGTCCTTTTTCCCCATAACTGTGTGAATTATGGAGCAGTCAGGTCGAGAACTTCTGACTGCCTTAGACCATCCTGAATCATGACCTATGTTCCCTCAGATTCTGAGTGACAAGGCAATGTGTGGCTCTGATGCAGTCATCAGAGAGGATGCAGGGGATGATAGAAGGATGCAGACAGAGAGACCTGATCATTCTGCTATGGAAACAGCCATTACAAATGCTTAAGGGTGAGGACCCATGGCCTACAACCCCCTGAGGTTGCTTGGACATTTGGCAGCTGGAGGACTCGCAGTCTCCTCTGCCTGGGGATCTTAGTTGGAAATATTGGAAAGGACTTTTTGCTGTTCTATGTTGGGAATTGAACTTAGGGCCTTGCACATGTTAGGCAGATGAAATGTTTTAACCCTGAGCCACACCCCCAGCCCCTCAGTAGCAGAACCTAGGCAGAGACTACTGCTGAGCTATATCTTTAGCTCTCTCTTTACTTTTTATTTTGAGACAGGATCTCATTAAATTGCCCAGGCTGGATCTGAACTCACCTTGTAGCCCAGGCAGGCCTTGGACTTGAAATTCTCCTACCGCAGTCTCTTGAGTAGCTGAGATGACAGTCTGGCTGGAAAGGTTTGCTTTCTCTCCCACCTCCTGAAAATTCCTACCCGCCCTTTGTGTCAGCTTCCCTCAGAGCCACACAGGCTCTGGTTCTAATGACACCCTACATCCGCACTTCCCTCTTTAGGGGACCCCTTGGAGACATTTCTTTGTGGGCCAGGACCTCCCAGCCTCACCTTGAAACAATTTTATTTTTTCCTAGGAAGCTAACAGACTTAACAAACTCCAGACAACCATCTATCATTGGGCACTGCACCCAAGGTTATGAGTTTCTTGTCTTGGGAGTCGGGAGAGAGATTTGCAGCAGGGAACAAAGCACAAACAGGCAATGTTTTAATATTCCCTGTGATGAGTCCTCTTGCTCTGAAATGGGTATGACTGGTTTTTCCTATTTATTTCTCTAATCCAACAGCAAAAACTTGCCTCTTGGTAGAAAAATAGAACAGGAAGAGGGGACTAAATGGCCACTACTTTTCATTCCTGCCCTGAGGGAAATAGAGGGTGGCAGCCTTCCCTGCTCTGGATTGGGATAGAGTGGAAGACCTGACTGGTACCTGCCTCCTTCAAAGACACAGGTTAGCTGAGACCATTCTGGGCATCAGCTTCCTTCAAACCATCCAAGTCTTCTGAGTGTATAGATGACAGAAGCGATGGAAGGCATCTCTGGGTGTTCTGCGTCACTGTGTGTTTTGGTGTGTGATTTTTGCTTTTTCGCAGAAAAAAAGCAAAACACATATTAAAAGTGGTTTTGTAAGAAAGGGACATTTCTGATCCCAGGAAGACCCCTTGGTGTCTGTTCTTTGGTAAAATCATCCTCTGGTGTCTCATGTGTGCTTTTTATTGGTATATATGCATGTTCATGTGTGTGTGTGTGTCGTTCACATGTGTACATGTGTGTTTAGAGGCCAGAGATAAATCTCATGTATCATTCTTCAGTTGCTCTTCACCTTTTTTTCTTTGTGTGTGTGTGTGTGTGTGTGTGTGTGTGGTGTGTGTGTGTGTACATGTATATACCACAGTATGTGTGTGGAGGTCAGACGACAACCTCAAACATTGCCCTCACACCTTGTTTGAGACAGGGTCTCTTTATTTGCTGACGTATACACCAAGCCAGTTGGTTCTTGAACTTCGGGGGATGCTCCTGTCTCCATCTTCCCATGAGAGTATTGGGATTACAGATGTACTCTGCTTTACCTGGTTTCTGAGGATTTGAACTCAGGTCCTCACACTTAGGCAGCAAGCGCTTGACCCCCTGAGTTATCTCCCCAGCCCCTACCCTATCTTTTGAGACAGGGTCTGATTTGCCTAGAATTCTGAGTAGGCCAGGCTTGCTGACCAGGGAGCACCAGGGATCATCCTGCCTCTACCTCCCAGTCAACGCTGGGATTACAAACACTTGTCACTGCACCTAGCTTTTTCTGTTTGTTTGTTTGTTTGTTTTTACACAGATTCTGGTGACCACACAACTCTAGTCCACATGCTTGCATAGCCCTATCTTGTGTGTGTGGAATAGATTCTCAAGACCCTAAGGGTCAAAAGCTAGGTCAAGACTACCCTCTATTTCCTCTTTGGCAAGTTTTACTTCCAACTGAAGCTGGTCAGAGGGCACAGAGCTGAGAGGCTTCGGTGGGGAGGGACAATCTTCTTTTTTAATTTTTACATTTTTGAGAATTTCATACATGAGTATTGTCTTTGCATTATTTCCATTCCTCCCAGTCCCCATCATCTCCGTGCCCACCTCTCAATTTCTAGTCCTCTTCTTCGATTATTATTGTTACATATACATATGTAACATATATATATAAAATGGACTGAGTCCATTTAGTGGTGCTCATATGTACTGTGTTTAGAGCTGCCCACTGGGATTAGATAACCTCTCAGGGAGCTAGTCTCCCTCAGCATCCATTGATTACCTGTAGCTCTTTTTCTTTTTTCTTTTTTGCTTTTTGAGGCAGGGTCTCCCTGTAGCCCCAGCTGGCCTGGAACTCACTATTAGACCAGGCTGGCCTTGATCTCACAGAGCTCCACCTGCCTCTGCCTCTGTAGTGCTAGGATTAGAGGTATGCACCACCACGTCTGGCCTTGCCTTTAGCCCTTCATCTTGTGGTGGGACCCCATCACAGTCCCCCTTTCCACCTTGGCATGTCGATTGGTTGTTTTGTCACTATGCGGATCTTGTTAGAATACACACTATGGAGATCTCATTGGCTTAGCTTCCCTGTCATGTCTAGAATGCATTGGCTAGCAGCAGGTTTCTTGTCTGGAGGGTCATTCCCTATCACATCTGAAAGGGAAGTCTGTGTCACCTCAGGACAACCTGACATACACAGGATGGTGATGACCAGAGCCTTCCATCTACAACACAGGTCAAGTCTGCTATCATCTTTGATGACCGAGGAGTTCCCTGGCCCAAGGCGCCTAGCCGGGAGATGCTAAGGTCAGTGTGGAGGTTGTCCAGTGTCCCTGGTCTATGGCCCCCTGCCTCAGGCCCCGTCCCCTTTTCACATCTCTACTATGTGCTGGAAATATCTCCAACTCCTTTGCAATCTGACCCCCTAGATCCAACACTTCCTGGTGGGTTTAGGAACAGGCCCATAGGTGAGCTGTGCTTTGAACCTTTACCCAGTAGAATTCATTAGGTGGGTACCAGTGGATACAAGCTACCTCCTTGGCCAGCATCCAGCCCTTGATAGCTTGGCCCACATGGCCTTCTTACCTTGTCCCATTTTTCTTCGAGAAGGTGTTCTTAACACTGAGATGGCGGCTGTTGAGCTCTAAGGCAGCAAATCCTCCATTATCCAGTGTCACTGATTCCTCCATGTTGGGGATTCCTTTCCCTACAGACAACAGGGAAAGTGAGTAAAGTTTCAGTAACATGCCCAGCTCAGTGACATGGGGTGGATCAGTCAACAACAGAGGCTCCTGTGTCATGGCATTGAATTCCTTGGAACTGGAGTTATGGACAGTTGTTAGCTACCATTTGGGTGCTGGGAACTGAACCCAGGTCCTCTGGAAAAGCAGCCAGTACTCTTAACCACTGAACCATCTTTCCAGTCTCAAATACAGGCTTTTAAATAAATATATAAATACATACCTGTTATGGTCAGTCTTTTAAAACTTTTAATTACATTTTAATTGTGTGTGTGTGTGTGTGCGCGCGCACGTATGTGTGCTGCGTGCGTGCGTGCGCACACGCGCGCGCCATAGCTCATGTGTAGAGGTCAGAGGACAACTTTTGGGAGTTGGTGCTCTCCTTCTACCATGTGGGTCCTGGGGGTTGAACTTAGGTCTTTACGCTTGTTTAAGCTTGGCAGCAGGTGCCTTAAACTCCCCAGTCATCTCTCCAGCTCTGTGTGATGGTTCATTTTGAGTGCTGATTTGAAGGGATTTAGAATCATCCAGGAGACAAACTTCTGGGCATGTCTGTGGGGGATTTTTTAGATTAGGTTAACCCAGCCTAAATCCAAAGGCCAGAATCCCAGACTGAACAAAAAGGAGAACACAAGCTGAGCACCAGCATGCATCTCTCTGCTTCCTGACCATGCCTCACGCTCCTGCTGCCATGCCTTCCCTCCATGATGGACTGTGCCCTCTGGGGTCTAGAATCAACCCTTTAAGTTGTTTTTGTCAGGTATTTTATGATAAACAACATTTATAATGGCTCCACATCACAAGTGGGGTGGGAGCCCCGGTCCTCAGAGCTGTCCATGAACTTAGCCTACTGTGCCCCCTCCTGCCAACATCATCTTTTATCAACAGCCCCTTCATCCTGGAGGCCTTATCCTCAGCAGTATCATCCCTGGGGTTTTCCTATGTATAACATCTAAGGCCTATAGCAGAGTTCTCCCTGCTTTGCCCTGACCCACTGATACTGAATATACCCCCCCCCATTGTATTTGGTCTTTTTTTGAGACAGTGTCTCCCACAGCTGGCTTGGAACTTGCTACAGAGACCAGGCTGGCCTCAATCTCATAGAGATCTGCCTGCCTCTGCCTCCCAAGTGCAGGGATTAAAGGCATGCACCATCATGCCCACAACCCTACCAATGTATTTGAAAAGTATATTGATTTTATTATATATGACTTTCTTTGTTCTGTTATTACAGAATATGTTAAATCTGTAGTAGTGAAATGTTTCCTCTAATCATGTAGTCATTAAAAATTAAAAAAATAATGATTATAAAATAATAATTAGTAGATGTGAAAAATATTACCATTGAAATCTACCTGATGACTTTATACCCATGCTCAGATGCCAAGGAGCTCAGAAAGTAACCGACTGTGACTAGTAATAATCAGATATATAGAGATTAGGAAGGCATGTGCAAACACCTTAATATCAATTGCATTGAAAATGAATTTTTCTGTATGAAACTATGTATTTTAATAATGAAACGGAGATCTTTTTTAAAGGTTAAAACCTCATTTAATTTTATGTCTTATAGGGTTTATACTGAGTACAATATTGTATAACTGTAATAATTCAACTGTAAACCTAAAAATTTACAGCCAATTTTGAAAAAGATGCATCTTAGCTCAGAAAATTGTTATTGAATATGTCAATGCTGTTGTAATACAATGCTTCTTCTAAGTATGTGGTTATTAAATAAATAATTAACTGGAAAAAAAGTTCATAAAATTGCTTCCTCATTGGAACATGGCATTTGGGGGAAACCTACATCTATGTTCCAGGGCCATGGTCACTTTGACGTGGCTCTAAAATAAACCATCTCTTTTATTCCTTTGAGGTGGGAGCCGTTTCTTCCACACATGAATATGTGTAGGGTATATCCATGTGTGTATGAGCTTGTGTGTCTGTGCAGGGGCCAGAGGAGTATATCAGCTCTCTCTCTCTCTCTCTCCTCTCTCCTCTCTCTCTCTCTCTCTCTCTCTCTCTCTCTCTCTCTGCACCTGACTCCTCTGAGACAGGGTCTCTCACTGAAACTGGGGCTGAGGTGGTAGCCAGCAAGCTCCAGTGATCCTCCTATCTCTGCCCACCCCCAACCCCAGCACTGGGGTTACAGGCATATGCATTGTCATGCCTAGGTTTTTATTAGACCTGGGGATTTGAACCCAGGTCTTCATGCTTGCACAGCAAGCACTCTTACCCACTGAGCCATCCTCCCAGCCCCAGCCTGGTAAGTTTTCACATGTCCGAATCTGCTTGTTTCTCAGACTCTATCTTCTATCTTCTTCTACTGGATGAGAGAGACTTTGAGAGTGAGGACTCTATCTGTTATGTTTTCCAGGGTCCTGTTGCCCCTAGACAGTGCCACACACCTCAAGACATAAGGTATATGTTCATCCTAAGTGGTTCCTCTGAGCGAGGTGCCCAGCACCTTCCAGGTGACTGGATGCTCAGATGGTGAGCTTCAGAATAGAGAAGGTAGTAGACCCAGTACAGCAAGGTGGTATTGAACTTGCCTCAGCACAGGGATGTGACTTGATGGGGGTTGGGCAGTGAGATCAAAGTGAGAGAGGTTAGCAGGCTCCTGCTGGAAAGGGACTGAACAATTTGGGACCTGAAAAGGCTTAAGTTCCCCAAGTCTCCAGAGCCCTGGAGTTTAATTATAATGTTAAATTAATACCCCGGGGGAGGCTGGGTATCCTTAGCTACAGGTTTGATGCGACTTTTCAAGTCTGTTTACCAGATGGAATAGTAGACTGAGACACAGGCAGATTTTTCTATGCTCCACACATAGGATTCTGTAACAACATTAACTCACTGAAATGACATGCCATTCATACATTGAAAATCCCAGAGGAATAAAATCTGATTTACGAACGCTTGTTAGAAGTGAATTTATACGGGGGAGGGGAGGACTAAATCCTTTTTTTTTTCAGGGATGGATCGCCTTGAGTTACAAAAGTAAATGTCCAGGTGATTTAGGTTCCAGGCTTTGTTAACCTGTTTATACAAGGATACTGATGCCTAGAAGGGATCCACAGGATCGTGCTCCCAGCCCATTAGCCCAGGGTGGCTGGCTCTTCATTAACAGCCCCTCAGCAGGGGCAGACTTTTCTAGAAGGTACAGACAGACAATGGATGGAAACCTAAGTCAAAGGCGGTGTGTATCTAGTTGGCTTGATGGTTACAGTCTTTGTGTGTATGAGTGCACATAGATAAATGCGTATAGAGATCTGATGTTAACCTCCAAAATCATTCCCCAGGAGCCATCCACCTTGTTTTAAAAATTACTTATTTTTATTTTATGTGTATGAGTGTTTTGCCTGCATATATATAACATATGTGCATCCAATGCCTAGGGAGGCCATAAGAGGGCAACCAATCCCCTGGAACTGGTAGTTTTGACAGTTGTTAGTCATCATGTTGGTGTTGGGGATAAAATCTGGGTCCTCTGCAAGAACAGCCCGTGCTCTTAACCACTGAGCCATCCTTCCAGCCCCTTTTGTTTTGAGACAGGGTCTTCCTGTAGCCCTGGCTGGCTTGGAACTCACTATGTATACCAGGCTGGCCTCAGTCTCACAGAGATCCACTTGCCTCTGCCTCCCAAGTGCTGGGATTGAAGGCGTGTACCATGACACCCAGCATAGTCAGGGTTTTTGGGGGTGGGTTCTGGGGACCAAACTCAGGTTCCTTATGCTTGCAAAGCAAGTACTTTACAAACTGAATCATCTCCCTAGCCCCTATTACATTCTTTAGCTCAGCCATGGCGTCCATGGCTGCTGAATGGGGGATGGGGGAAGTGGAGGCCACAGGTGTAAAGCTGTTTTCTAGTTTCACTAAACAGTGGCCTCACTGGTACTTATGAGAGTCTTTAAGAATGGAGGCTAAGGAAGAGCGTTCATCTTAAGTGTGTGAAACGATGTGGTCTTGTAATGTGTAGCCACTGCCTCCATACAGGTGTGGGATCTGTACAACAAATGTAAGGCTACCTCGTGAACCATCCATGTCTGCTCCTCTCTCCCAAGATGCAGCCATAACACGGTCTTCAAGCATGCTTCCAGAACTGGAGAGGTGGCTCAGCAGTTAAGAGCACCGTCTATTCTTGCAGAGGACCCATATTTGGTCCCCACCACCACATGAGGTCTAACAACCATCCCTCCTCCAGTTTCAGGGACTCCAATACCCTCTTCTGGCCTCCACGGACATTGCATGCATGTGGTACAGTTGCACACATGTGGGCAAAACGCTCATATACATAAAATAAAAATAAATGCATTTTAAAAAATGTAAAAGTACATGCTTCCATTTTCCCTTTTCTGACATCCATGTCTAAGAACCCTCATGACATGTGCATTTCTGTGACTGGCCTCAGCCTGTGTCCACTTGTTCATTTCTCTAGTCACAGGGATGGTGATTTGTTCAGTAGCAACATCATCTGATGGAGCACTGGCTCTGTGGAGCTCTGCTGGGAGTGATGGAAACTGGCCCTCAGAGGGCTCAGAGCTGAAGGAGGGTGTGTGTGTGTGTGTGTGTGTGTGTGTGTGTGTGTGTGTGTGTCTGTAGAGGGAGTGGAAGAGGAGGTGGGGGCTGAAGTATGTGAGAACAACTTTACCAGGGGAATTTCTGTAATGCTCGGTGAGCTACCCTAGATATCTGAGGTGGACCTAGTTCATCCTGTCTTCAGAGGGGCCAGCAGGATATTTCATCTGTTTAACACTTATGCTTTCTAGTGATGTTTAAAAACAGGTGCATCGGAGCAAGGTACATGTGAAGGAACATGTGGGGAGCTCAGTGACAACAATACCATGACCAAGACACATGGGTAATCTGAGGGGCAGAAACTGTCACCAGTGTAGAATTCTTTTGGTTTTCCTAGTGGTAGGGATGGAGTGTAGGGACTCAAGCATGCCAGGTGAGCACCCTACCACTGAGCTATGCCCCCAATCCCTCACTGGGGGATTCTACGCATGTGTTTTACCACTGAGCCACACTCCTAGCCCCTCACTGGGGGATTCTAGGTAGGTGCTCTACCACTGAGTCATGCCCCAAGCCCTTAATGAGGGGGGTGTATTCTAAACAAGAACACTACCAATGAGTCATACCTCAGGTTCTCACTGGTGATTCTAGGAGGTGTTTTACCACTGAGCCAGCACCTCACTGGGTGATTCTAGACTGGAGCTTTACCACTAAGCCAGACCCCAGTCCCCCAGTGGGAAATTCTAAACAGGCACTGAGCCATGTTACAGTTCCCTCCTTGGAGGATTCTAGGTAAATACTCTTGCTGATTTACAACCTCAGTCCAGGTCTGGGAATGTTTGGCTTTACCAGGGGAGAAAACTTTTTGCCCCTGTCTTCTGCATCAGACCTGTGTGGGATAAACAGACCCTGGTAGATCCAGGGAAGAAACCATATGTGAACCCTCAGGTCCAAGTATCAGGGCACCATGGGGACAGGGAGATGGAGGCAGACATCATACCTGTGCCGCAGTTCTTGTACTTCTTGCTCTGCCCATGGAGGACCAGCGCGAATACCACCAGCAGGACGAGGAGGAGGCTGGAGAGAGCCATCACCAGCAGGAACCACCATTCCTCGTAGAACGGGGATTCTGCCTGGGCTACAGAAAAGACAGTTCTGGATGAGCTCTGTGGCAGGTTTGAGAATTCACCTGCAATTGTTTTTCTGCCTTTATTACAGAGTTAGGCTTGGGGATCTGTGATGGTTAGATCTTGTCAACTTGGTGGGATCTAGAATCACCCAGGAAACAAGCCTCTGGGTACACCTGTGAGGGATTTATCTAGATTAAGATCAGTCTCTGGGAATGTCTCTGAGGGATTGTCTTGATTGGGTTAACTGATGTGGCACAAAGACCCACCTCCTTGGCTAGAGTCCTGCACTGAGTAAAAAGGAGAAAGGGAGCCGAGTACCAGCACTCGTCTCTGTGCTTTCTGTGGATGCCGCCTCACACTCCTGCTGCCTTCCCACCATGATGAGCTGTCCCTGTGAACTGTCCAGAATTAACTCTTCCTCCTATAAGTTGCTTTCATCAGGGTATTTTATCACAGCAGCAAGTAGGAAACTTGGATAGCATCTTTGTATCCTGAGACCTCGCCTTGCCCTACAGAATACCCTACACACCTCTTCTCCCCATTCCATCTTCTTAGAAACAGTGTGCAGCTTGAAATGAGGCTCTGCCTACCCCTCTGGAGGAGAGCCTCCCCCCGACCCCTGCCCCAGGCACACTGTCTGCTCTGCTCTCCATCACACTGCCTTCTCTCCCTCACCATGGCAACCTGGTCCCCCCTTTTACACTGCCACCAGAGAGATCTGCCCTGATAGAAAGACTTCCTTCCTAGGATCCTTGCCTCTTCTAGTGGCTCCCAATGACTACAAGAAAAGTCTTCAAGGTCTCGGGATTTGACACAGATCTCGTCTTGGGTGGCTGCTGGATACGTGTGTGTGTGTGTGTGTGTGTGTGTGTGTGTGTTGGAAACAAAACTTTTTTGCTATATTTTATTTAGTGTATGTTCACTTATATGTATGTATGTGCACCACATGCATGCAGTGTGTGCAGAGTCCAGAAAAAGGTGTTGAATTCCCTAGAACTGGAGTTATGGACAGTACTTAGCTGCCATGTGGGTGCTAGGAATTGAACCCCAGTCCTCTACAAGAACAGCCAGTGGTCTTAACCACAGTGCCATCTCTCCAGTCCCCACACTGCATGCATTTATCTGTCCACCCGTTGGCCTTCTCCACTGGTCCATGAACCCCTAAAGTCTGGGGGCTGTGTTTTGTTTATTTTATCCCTCAAGCTAAATTGAGCTGAACTATAGGCTTCCTGTTGGAATTTGTTTTTGAGAAATCCATTCAAAAGGGTTTCATGTAAAATCTGCTCTGGCAAAGGGTGTCCCTCTTCCTTTGTGTTTATTCTGTTTACTAAGAAGAAAATGGGAAAATGGATTCTCGGTGGGAGTCTGGTGGCCCTGGGGTTCCACTCCTGCCTTTCAGGGGGTACCCCTGCAGGGGAGCTGGTTCTGCAGCACTGAGTGCCTCCTGTTCCCCGCCCCAATGTAGGGCTTCTTATGGGCAGAGCCGGGGGTCCATCTCCTGCTGCTAAACCCCATAGAAAACACATCTACCTTCTGTTAAGTATCTCCCTGGATGGATGAAGAATGAGTGCATGCTGGGAATAAAGGAAAATTGGCTTTGGATAATGGCATACTACAGGGCTGCTCAGGCGAGACAGTGTTTCGAATCTAAAAGATGTAAGTGGGGTTTCTGGCTGCACATTAGATACTCCATGTAACAAATCCTGTGATTCACCAGCCAACCACCCAGGGGCCCAGAACTGGCCTGTCTCTGCCACTGGCAGGGAAGAGAGGTCTCCCATTATCCCATGATGGGGGATTCTTACCCCAAGTTTCTGATGAGAGGCCAGCAGGTGACAGTGGCTGGCATCTCCCAGGGTTGTCATAAGCTGTGCTGGCATTTAGATGCCATGGATCTTGGAGAAATGTTTGGGGACGATGAAGGAGGTGAGGGAGCTACATTCCACCTGCTGTCCACTGTGTCAGTCAAAGGCCACATGGGTGCAAAGCTGTTTTGTACCAGTTTTTCAGACTGGACAAAATGCAACAATATTTTATTTCTTTTTTTACCTATGTATGTACGTGTGTGTGTGTGTGTGTGTGTGTGTGTGTGTGTGTGTGTGTGTGCGTTTGGGGACACAGGTATGAGTATGCATGCATGTTCATGTGCATGTGTGTATGCATGTGTGTGTGGAGGCCAGAGGTCAACCTTAGGTGTCACTTCTCAGGAACCTCCCTCCCTCCCTCCCTCCCTCCTGACAGAGTCCCTCAACAGGCCTGGAGCTTGCAAAGTAGGCCAAGTTGGCCAGCCAGTGAGCCTCAGGGATCCACCCTTCCCCAGCGCTGAGATTATAGGTGCATGTCACCACTCCTGGCTCTTATATGTGGGTTCTGGGGGTCACCACTCCTGGCTCTTATATGTGGGTTCTGGGGGTCACCACTCCTGGCTTTTATATGTGGGTTCTGGGGGTCAAACTGAGGTCTTAGTGCTTGCACAGCAAGTACTTTACTGACTAAGCCATCTTTCCAGTCTGAGGCAGACTGAATTACTGAAGTGAGGTGCTGGGGGTCCTTATCTTTTTGTATGCTTAGAGCCATGTTTTAAAATGTTCATAATGAGGGGCTGGAGAGATGACTCAGAGATTAAGAGGGCTGCTCTTACAGAGGACCCAGGTTTGATTCCCAGTACCCATGTTGAGGCTAACAACCATCTGTATCGTCAGTTCCAGAGGAATCTGAAGTTCTCTTCTGACCTCCTCAGGCATTGCATGACACGGGTGTACTTACATACATGTAGGCAATACACTCATACACATAAAATTAAAAAGAATTAAAATGTTTTTTTAATGTTCATAATGAAGGACCCATAAGTTGGCTCATTGGGTAAAAGTGCTTGCCATTAAACCTGATGACCACTGTTTGATCCCCAGAGCCTGCATGGTAGAAGGAGAGAACCCCCCCCAAGCTGTCATAACCTTCACATGCATCTGTGGTGCATGCATGCATGTGGGCACGCACACAAACTAAACAAATAAAACATAATTTTAAAAATTCAATGTTCAAAATGAAAACTAAGGCTTATTTTCCCTAAATCTTGCTCATTACAAATTGGTCAGTGGGTGCCTCGCACAGCCCACTGAGCAACCCCTAATTCAAAGATGCTGTGGGCAAGGGTGTGGGTGTCAGGACCCTGAGCTTCCCTACAAGAGCCCCATGGCAGAGCAGTGGAGGACGTGGCCCTAAGTCTCAGCAAAGGCAGATGGAGGCTGAGCTAAAAGTAAAGCCAAGAATATGAGGGAGAGAAACCCAGGTGGTGTTGGCTCAGCCACTGCAGTTGCCAGCTCCGACACCCCAACCTTCTCTACCCCTGCCCACCACGCCATCCCCTTTCCTGTTACCGTCATCTTTGTTTAAAATGCACGTGTGTGTGTGTGTGTGTGTGTGTGTGTGTGTGTGTACGTGTGTGAGTGTAGAGGCCACTGAGGTCAACCTCAGGTGTCATCCTTTGAAACAGGGTCTCTCACTGCCCTGTAGCTCGCTGATCAGGCTAGGCTGGCTGGTCAGTGGGCTCTAGGGATCCTCCTGTGTCTGCCACAGTGCCTGGCTTTTGTACATGGGTTCTGAGCACAGCCTGGCATGGGACTCCTACCTGTCTGTGAAGTGTCCTTGCTGGTGGTGGCTCTGGACCTGGGGTCCTATAAGAAGGCACTAGTAGGGAGGAGCCCTTTGGTGTTGAGGATCCACAGGGAGCTCCCTGCAGGGGTTCTGTTTTTAATTAATAATTTATTTTTATTTTATGTGTATGAGTGTTTTGCATGCATGTAAATGCACTCGTGTCTTGCGATGCCTGCCGAGACCAGAAGAGGGTATTGAATCACCTGGAACTGGAGTTTCAAATGGTTTTGGGTGCTGGGAACTGAACCCTGGTCCTCCGCAAGAGCAGCCAATGCTCTTAACCACTGAGCCATCTCTCTAGTACCAAACAATGGTTCTGCGGCAGTCCCTCCACCCAGTCTTTGGCTCCCATCAGTCCCATGGCTCCTGCCCTTTCTTCCCATGGATGGATGGCTCTACTTTATCCTCCTGTTCTTTGGAGAAAGGGCATTATTACCCTTTAGGTGTCCAGGAGGGCTTACCTGACACAGCTGTGGAGGGGCGGCTGGGCTCCCCAAAGCCCACCGTATTCACAGCCACCACCCGGAACTCGTAGGTCACTCCTTGACGCAGCTTGTCCAAGCCCACGGTGAATGATGTGGCACTACGGGGAATGTCCTTCGCGAACATGTCCCATAACCCTTCATCTGCAAGAGGGACAGGATACAGACAGGAGTTTAGGGCAGCTGTGCTCGATACGAGCCCAGGAACCTGGATGCACACCTGTTTGATTAGCCAGCCCACAGCTGCCTGCAACAGCAGCTTCCGATGCCCGTGTCAGAAGCTGGAGAGAGACATGTCTCCTACATCTACAAATACCCCAGAGTTGCAAGTTGGGAGTGGTGTTTGCTTTTTGTAAAATTACATTTATGTATTGTGTACGTGTGTGTGCACATGTGTGCACATATGCCAAAGTATGTGTATGGAGGTCAGACTACAACTTACAGGAGTTGGTTTTCTTTGGCTACCATGTGGGACCTGGGATTGAACTCAGGTCATTAGGCTTGGTGGCAAGTTCTTTTATCCACTGAGCCATATTGTAGGACCTGAACGGCATTTTTTCTTTCTTTTAAAAAAAATTTTTTAATCTTTTTTTTTTCTTTTTTGGAGACAGGGTCTCTCTGTAGCCCCACCTGTAGCCCCAGGTGGTCTGGAACTTGCTGTTAGACCAGGCTAGGCTTGCCTTCACAGAGATCTACCTGCCTCTGCCTCCCCAATGCTGGGACTAAAGGCGTGTGCTACCCCATCCAGCTTTAAATAAAAACAAAAACCTAGTGGTGTTTTCTCTCTTATTTCTCCCCTTTGCCCATCACATTCTAGTATGTTCCAGGTCCTCTCTGGTTTCCCACTTGATGTTGCCTTTGGGACTTCTGGGTCTCTTATGTCTAGCTGCTTTCCCTTCCCATGGTATGCACCCTTGCTGAACCTTTCCACCCCCTCCCTGATCACTGACAGTTCTTCCCTGTCACCCTGCTGCTCACCAGCAGCTGGTCTCTGCTTGTAGGAATAACTTCTATAAAATGGACATAATCTGGACTACTGACTTTTAATTAACCTTGGCAAAACTCTTAAAAACTAAAGTTAGAGTCAAGCTGTTTTATTCAGGTAATTGCAATATGGCATGGTAATGTTACACCTGATCATCATGGGTATCCAACACACGTCCCGATTGGTAACGAACTCCAGCCAATGGATAGAGGGGAAACTGAGGCATGGCTACCTTCCCGGCTGCTGCCAGCACCGTGCTGCTGTGTCTGGAGTTCTCCATGCAGTTTGGGCAGAACAGATGTCAGCGCTCCCAGGCTGGTTTTAATCCCTCTACGTTGGGTCACATCTCTTAGAGCAGTGTGGGATGTCAGCTGATATGGAAAATGGGGGAACTGGTGCATGCTTTGGGACATGACTGTCAGAGCCCCTTGCTCTCTGAGACCACAGCCACTTTGAGGCCATTTAAACCAAGCAAAGGATCTTATCAGAGCTAAGTATACCTTGGACCACCTTCCATGTCAAACCTGCCTAAATGCAGAGTATTATTTAATTAATTAATTATTTAATTAATTTATTTATTTATTATTTTTGCAGTGCTAGGGATCAAACCCAAGGCTTTGTGCAGATAAGGCAAGAGTTTCACTTCTGAGCCCCATCCCTCCCCCCACTGGGAAATTCTAGACAGGGGCTCTACCACTGAGCCCTGCCCTCAGCCCCTCACTAGGGGTTTGTAGACAGGTATCTAAAGGGAGGTAAACAATAGGATATCTTGAGGGGAGGTGAAACATTCCATTCTGCAGGGAAGCTCATTAAGCTCAGGAAGTAAACAACTCAACTTCAGGAAGTCCCTGAAATGGACATGGTCACTAGGCCCCTCCCCAAGCATATATAAACCCCAAGTACTGCTAAGAGACTCTCAAACCAGCTGAGCTACCTGGAAAGGACAATCTGCATCCTGTTGAACTGCCTGCAAGTTGGGTAGTGCTTCTAGGTTTCCAGCTTTTGCGGGCTGTCACCCATTCTGGGGTGGCCTTTGGTGATGGCAGCTGTCTGTGAGGCATTCTCCTCACCCATACTTCTGTAAGTACCTCAGTAAACTCCCTGGTTCACCAAGCTGGGCTTTGGTGGCATCCTGACTTTGGTCTCTCCTTGGCTCCTTCTCTGGGGTTGAGAGACACTTGTTTACATCTCCCCTGGAATACTGTCACACAACAGGGAGGTGGAGACAGGAGGATCCCTGGGGCTTGCTAATGAGCCAGCCTAACCTACTTGATGAGCAGTCAGAGAGACCCTGTCTCAGAAAACAAAGTAGATGGTGCCTGAGGAAAGATGTCTGAGGTTGACCTCTGGCTTCCATACACATGCACATGCACACCCAAAGTAAAGTGTCAATTTTACTTTGTGCATAGCTTTCCACAGTAGACTGATACTAAATTTATGTAAATCCCAGTTTCTAGGAAAACACTGATAAAATCAAAGCTGGAAAAAAATCTTATGTAGAAAAAAAAAAGTGAGTGGTTTTGATTCTGAAGCACCAACCGAGTAAAGGAACCAGTGAAATCCATCTTGGCAGCACATGCCCGTAACCCCAGCCCTTGGGAGGTAGAAACAGGAGGATCAGGAGTTCATCCTCAGCTACATAGCAAGTTTGTGGCCAGCCTGGGCTACATGAGAATTTGTCTAAAATGACAGTAGCAAACTAAAGACCCCAAAGCACTGTGGCTGACAGAATAGAGTCTGGAACTACACAGCCTTGGTGCAAAGCCTGACCCTGTGGGTGTGTGACCTTAGGCAGCACACTCAACCTCTCTGTGCCTCATCTGTAAAATGGTAATAACAAAGGTACTTCCAGTGAAGGCCTGTTTTGAAGACTCAACACATTTTTATTTATTCATAATGTATTTTTTTAAAGACGTACTTATTTAATGTATATGAGTGTTATGCCTGCATGTCTGTAAGTGCACCCATGTCATGCAATGCCTGTGAAGGCCAGAAGAAGGCATCAGATCCCCTGGAGCTGGAGTTAGACAGAATTGTTAGCTGCCATGTGGGTGCTGGGATTCAAACCCAGGTCCTCTGGAAGAGCAGCCAGTGTGCCTAACCTCTGAATCATCTCTCCAGCCCCATAATGTATTTTAATGTATTTTTCAAATTGTGTGTGTGTGTGTCTGTGCATGTGAGTGCATGGCCAAGGCTAGAATAATGCATTGGATCCTCCAGGCCGATGAGAGCTGCCGGGCATGAGCACTGGGAACCAAACGAAGGTCCTCTTTGAGATCAGCAAGTGCTCTTAACTGCTGAGCCATCTCTCTAGCCTCACACTTTGGAGATTTTTAATTGAATTTTTATGTATTTCCTACAGAACTTCTTAATCATCTTTATACCCCCTTCCCTTCCCCATTGGCACCCTTCTGTAGCTCCATACCCCCACTGGGTTTCATGCATTCTATCATTTGTGCTAAGGCCTACTGAGTCAAGTCAGTGTTCCCAGACATCCCTCAGGGCAAGTTCATCCACTGAGGACCTATCTAGACCCTCCCTTTAAGAAGGTCAGCTCTTCCTCATCCAGCAGTAATCAGCTACCAACAGTTCTTTGGCTAAGATTTGGGTCTGTTGTACATTGCTGCAGCTGGGTTTTTGTCTGCTTAAGTTTACACAGGTCTTGTGCATGCTGACACCATTACTGTAGGTTCATATGAGCCAGGTCCCAGGAGCCTGTAAGACAATTTCCATATGGCCATGCACCTCCTCCCTGGCTCTAACAATCTTCCCGCTCCCTTGGACAGGACTCTTAGAGTAAAGCCTCACGTTTTTACTTATAAAATGCTTGGCACACTGCTTCACACGTAGTCAGTACAACGTGACTGTAAAATACAATATAAATTTACCCCTGAGGAGGCTGTTGCTAAAAAGGTAGGCTTGGAGCCCAAATTGTTCCTATGAAGTAAGGATTCTTCCTAAGTTCTGTTTCCCCTGACAGGTAAAGGTCTGTGACACTTGAAAAAGCAGGTGATCTGGAGAGGAAAAGCCCACTGAATATTCATGTGCATGCACTCGCTGTTTTTATGGCCCTGGGGGTGATGGGAAGCAAACTCTCTTGGCACCTTTGCAAGAGATGCACTTGGATGGATTAGCACAATGGTAAACAGGAGGAAATTGCCAGTGTGTGAGTCTGTGTTTGCACAGGCTTTAGACTTTGCCCTGGTGAAGTCCTGATAGTCACAGGTTAATGAAGGAGGGAACAGGAATGACTTTAAAGGCACAGGCAGAGATGTTAAAACATGTGACTTACTTTTGAATATTCAGTTTGTAGTTGTTCATCAAGAGACCCCCATCAGGGGTGATAAGGTCAAGTGGCAAACTAGCTTAAGTGGGTATTCTCCCCCATCTAAAATATCAAAGTTTATATACAGAATGATGGTGTGCTTTCTACTTTTTAAAGATTTCTTTTTGTTTATGTATATGTGTGTGGGTGTTTTGTGAGTGTATGTCATGTGTGTGCAGTGGCCTTGGAGGACAGAAGAGGGCATCAGATCCCTTGGAGCTGGAATTATAAGAAGTTGTAAACCACCCAATGTGGGTGCTGGAACCTGAACCCAGGTCATCTGGGAGAGCAGCAAGTGCTCTTAACTGCTGAGCCATCTTTCCACCTTGGTTTATAGTTTTGTATGTGAGTTTTGAATAAGAATAGTGGAGTGGGGGGCCTAGAGAGATGGCTCAGTGGTTAAGAGCACTGACTGTTCTTGCAGAGGACCTGGGTTCGATTCCCAGCACCCACATGGTGGCTAACAATTGTCTGTAACTCCAGTTCCAGGGGATCCAACACCCTCTTCTAATCTCCATGGGCATTGCATGACACAGGTGCACCCACCTACATGCAGGCATTACATTCATACACGTAAAATAAAAATAATAATTAAAATATTAAAAAAGAATAGTGGGGTGATGATACATTTAGTGCCTCTCAGCCTGCAGAGCCCCTGGACCCCTCTTCTAGCCTCCCTACCTGTTCACCCACATGTAACTAGGCCCACTCTGTGGCAGGACTCTGTTTTGTCCTTTAGGAGGTCAGGTGAATAGTCTGTTCTCATAGGCTATGTAGAGTGTATCAGTAGGAGGTGGAGGAAAAACAAGGCCAGGGTTACCCCCAACCCCAGCC